GGATGTTGATTCCTTGCCGTGCCCTACTCGATTCTGAAAAAAGAGAAGAAAAAAGAAAGAGTCGGAAGTTTCCGTTTCTGGTCTAGGCGAGTCGTGTGCAATATCCGAAGGATGCTGCGTTGAAATTTTTTTTTGTCTGGACGTTGATATGCAATGACTGCACCATCAAGCAGCCCTCCTCCCGCCCAACCGACCGAGGGGCACTGCCGCATGACGCGCGACGCGTGTTACCGAACCGATCGCAAGCATGCAGGAAAGATAGGTGTTAGACTAAAATTCGAGGAAAATTAGAGCTAAACACAACTCAAAGAGCTAAACATGCAAAGATAGCTAAAAAATATAACTAATTCGGGAAAGGTATGTTAGTATTAGTGATTTAAGAAGAGGAAGGGAGTTAGTGGTGGATATTATATGGTAGAGGGAATTGAAGTCCGAGCAAAGAACCCTAAATGGTTCGTGCAAGGAATAATTCGATCTGCAAAGCGGAAGGAACAAAGGAATGAAGTTTCTAGTAGATCTAATAGGAATCGTAAAGTTTATGCGGCTCAACAGGTCAGGGCTATCTACGTCACCCTTGATCAGGTTGTGCATAAAAATCACCCCAAGCATTTTTCTACGACTAACTAAGGTTGGAAGGTTTATTAAAAGCAATCTACGAGGGTAAGATGGCCGTCTCACACCTGCATCCCAGTTAAGGCCACGCAGAGCAAAAAGTAAAAAGTTTTTCTGGACTGGTTCTATATGGTCCTGGTGTACTTTGTACTGGGGGCACCATACACAAGAGCCGTACTCTAAAATCGGACGAACAAGCGAGATGTAGAGAGTCTTCGTTGTATAGGGATCGTCAAATTCCTTTGACCACCTCTTTATAAACCCAAGCACACCCATGGCCTTATTTACCATGGTAGAAATGTGTTCAGAAAACTTTAACTTTGGGTCTAATTTAACACCAAGATCATCAACCAAGGTAATTCTCTTAAGAGAACCACCGCAGAGGATATAAGGAGCCAAAAGGGGGCTGGAGCGGTCAAAAACATGACCTTGACCTAAAAGGTCAAGTTTTTGTGCTAAAAGGGAATGGTTTACAGAATCGAATGCTTTACTACAATTAGTGTAAATGACATTCGTCTGCAAGTTACCTCGAAAGCCTTTAATGATAAAAGGTAAACTCTAATAAATTTGTGGTTGTTGATCGTCGCCTTATAAATCCGTGCTGGGACGGAGATATAAGTGATTTGCAGAGATGTTGCAAATGCGGAGTTAAAATTTTTTCAAACATTTTAGGAATAGCGGATAACGTAGATATACCTCTATAATTATTTGCATCAGACTTGCTACCTTTCTTATGGAGCGGAATAATAAAAGATACCTTCCAGATGGGGGGGAAGCATGAAGAGTTAATGGATAGGGTGAATAGTTTTAGCAAGGGTCCACACAGAGCGTCGGCACAGTACCTAAGTACACAGCCGGGAACTCCGTCGGGACCTGGTGAAAACACCGGCTTAACTAGTCGAAGATCATGAAGCAGTGAGATTTCATTTAACAAGGGGCTGAAGATGCCATTCGACCTTGGTAAACTGTATGGATACGGCTGACCAGAGTAGTTTTCATGAGAATAGGTTGTTTGGAAAAATTTGGCAAAAAGATCGGCAGTTGCCTGATCATTGTTTGCTGACATATTGAGAAAAGATAACAAGGGTGGATGTGCGGACTTTCTACGCTTACTATTTACGAAGCTGTAAAACTGTTTAGGGTCCTGTAAAAATCGTATCCTGCATCGAGATAGGTAATTTTTATAGCATTGAGCGTTAATAACGGAGAAATTTGACCTAGCTATTACATAGCTAGAGAGGGAGAAGAGTTAGAACCAACTTCTTGAAATTTTTTATAAAGTCTTGAGTTAAAGTTTTTTAGACTGGTAAACCAAGGATCCTCCCAGATCTAACGGGACAAGAAAGTGAGAATCAAAAAATGAGTCAAGTGCATTGTAAAAAAGGGCTCGGGTTAGCAACGCTATGGTCGGATCCGAGACAAAGCACAGATCAAGCAATCGACCCATGGGATTTTTCACATGGTTGACTTGAGACAGGGATAGGTCTAGCAAGCCGTCGATAAAGTCATGTCGTGACATGGGCACAAGGTTATTAGACTCGTTTACCGAAGACCAAACAGTACCTGGCAAATTGAAATCACCAAGAACTATCATATGGTCGTTATCTGAAAGCGAGGAAGAAACAGTTTTTAAAGCGGACAGGTGATGCTCGTATATTAAGATATCCGAGGAAGGTGGAATATTCGAGCAATACGATTCCAACTGGAATCACACGAGTCCAACTATGCCACGACCATTGCGGCACTTATTGCCTCAACCATTACGGGTAAACAACCCAACGGTATCCTCGACATTAATCGCTGGAACATGCCCTCCAATATACATCTGGCGGATCAGAAGTTTTACCAGCCCCAGCCAGTTGATATTCTGATTGGAGCGGCACTGTTCTTCAAGCTTCTATGCGCTGGCAATATCAAGTTGGGAACTGTACTGCCACGTCATCAGGAGACCAGACTGGGATGAATAGTTGCAGGAGAGGTTTCTACGTCTCTCAAGGCAGCTCAAGGCTTTCTGTTTCTCTATTTTCAGTTAGCTCATCTAAAGTGGCCCCACGTCCCAGCATAGGGTCAGACATCAAGTCCGGAGTAGCGGTGCTGAAGACAATAGAACAAAAGTGCTGCCAAAGAAGGATGTTTAAGACCCGTGCTCTTCAACGGGAGGAGTATGTTCGGCTAAGCGCCGGCCCATGGCAGCACAAAGAGCAGTTGATCATACTATGTAACATCTCTTAATGTAACGTCTCTTTTTATCACCGTGTTGTTTGCCTTTGCTTATGCTCTATCTGGTGCTTTGCTCTCTGGCTGCGTTCGTCAGCCGCTGTGGGGGAGGCTCGTCAGAGAGAGCAGAAGACATTTCACTATCAATCACCACCGTAATTAAACGTATTGCTGTCTGGCACAGTGAACTACCTCCCAAAAGTTCTATACGCTCATAGCAAAAATATATCGATAGCTTTCAACAGTCTTGAACCGGCCCCGCGTCTTCAATCGACCCATCATAAACTTTCGCTAGTAAATCCACACCTTTCGCTATTTATCGATGCAAAACATATATATATATAAACTTAACCGTGAAGTATTAACTGAACAATCATCGTCTTTTTAATGCCTCGCAAAACAACGCTACTATGACTTAAAAGTCGTAGCCATATTTATGGGATTGCAAGGTGGTTTCCACGTCTGTCGCTGGCAAAAGTTAAAGAAGGCGTATTTGATGGCCTCCAAATTCGAAAACTACTAAAAGATGATGGATTTGAAAATATTTTATCTACGAATGAAAAAGCAGCCTGGAACTCACTCCGATTGGTTACAAAAAATATTCTTGGTAACAGCAAGAGTGATGATTAGGTTAATATCGTTCAAGACATTATGAAAAAAATGGAGCCAACTTGGCACTAAAATCCATTTCCTGCACTCCCACTTAGACTTTTTTCCGAAAAACCTAGGGGACGTTAGCGTTGAACACGGAGAGGGATTTCAACAACAATTAAAATCTATAGAGCGACGGTATCAAGGTGTTTGCAATGAGAATATGTGTGGACTCTCATAAGGGAATCTGATTCGAATGACAAAGGAAGACAGCCACAAAACTTAAATTATTTTAAGAATAGTAACAAGCAGTAGAAAATAAAATTTATCACATACGTTTAAAAACTTGTAGCAACATAACACTAACAAAAGTAACTGTCAACAACATTTAATGCCAAAGGAACACGTTCAGGTACCAAAAATTAGACCCCTTTTCGTTTGCTTTGTTCCCAATCGGCAGTCGGGCCCGCAACCTTCCAAAAAGTATTTTTGTCTATTTTTTTCATTTTTTTTAGGTTTGGTTAACGATTTATAGCTCCACCGTCTCTCCATAGATTGTAATGAACAATACCTTAAACGACGCCTAATCTTAAAAAAAAAATGTATGCCAAGGAATATTTTTTTCGACTTTTCCTGAGTTTTAAAAAAAAAAATTTTAAGGGGAAAATACCGCAAACAAATTATGAAATTAAAATTTGAAAGCTTTCAGGCGTTAAGCTGCAGCTAGTTCTATGCAACCAGATACAAGATACTTTTTTTTATATTTAGGAGTGCCACAGAAATCACTAGTGAAATTGAAAACCGCGAGAAGGATTTCCGCTTAAAAATTTCCGCCGTGCCACAGAATTCCGAGCGATTTCATTTTTCTTAGCATGGTCACAAACCAAATTCGAACTAAGTCTAGGGTTGACACCTTTCAAGATTCAATTCGAATAGATTTCATTTTGCAGTTTTATTGATTTTATCATATCAAAACAATTGGTTTTTCTTTTTTTCTTTTATGATATAAAATAATTGATTTTTCAAAGCTGTACTTTTATAATTACAAAGAAAATAAACATCCCATTTCTTGCGCGCCAAACAAAATGAATTACTCGACAACTCTAGCAGTTGTCTGGCAACTCTCCGTGCCTGGCGGATATCAGCTGTTCAAAAATAAACAAACATCTGAATTGATTTTAGTTAAAGTTAAGAAAAGTGCCTATAGCGAGAATTCTGGCCATCGAAGAGGTACGGAGGCAGCAGATTAGAGAATAAATCCTCAGGCTTCTCAGATGCGCATCGGACCCGTTTTCACAATCAGACGATACGTATGTAGTTTTTGTGATTTTCTGCTCAAACTACTGCTCATTTTTTTTATTACAATTAACAGCTTTCGGTACAATTATCTTGTTGAAAAGACAACCTTCGAAAGGATCCTTAATATAATCAAAGAGGATATCCCATATTCTTCGATTCCGCCCATTCTGCATTTGGCGACTGCCCTGCGGTTTTTAGGAGTTGGGTCGTTCCAAAGAGCAATAGGAAAGGACGCGGATCTGTCTATGTCCAGGCAATCCGTTGGAAAAATTCTATGGAAAATGCTTCCGTTGTTGGAAAGGAAACTTGGTCCCCGTTTCATTCAACTGAAGAAATCAGAGCAAAAGCTGAGTAAACGTAAACAGCATTTCTATAAAAAGTATGGGATTCCTGGTGTTATTGGGTGCATTGATGGCACCAACATCAAGATCATGAGGCCCGGCAATGCCGAGCAAGTTTATTTTAATAGACTCTTGCGCTTGGGGTCAGAGCGAGGCCAGGGCATTTTTGCAAGAAGAGTATGATAGTGGTTCCCGTGCTAATTGGCTTCGTGGAGATTCAGGTTACCCCTTAGAACCCTTTTTGCTTACGCCTTACAGAAATGCAACGGCAATGTCCAACCAAAATACTTTTAATCTTCGTCATGCTTCTGCAAGAAATGTGATTGAGAGGACTTTTGGAGTTTTTAAAAGCCGATTCAGACTACTCCAAGAGATCCTTTTGTATAATCCCCTAAAGGTCACATGCATAATAAATGTGTGCTGCGTTCTTCATAATTTATGCCGCGAGCAAAATGATCAGGAGTTTCGTGTTGTCGGAGTTAATGAAAGACGCGAGAAGTTGGCGCTTTACCAAATTTTGATCAGCCTGAACCAACTTCACGAATTCGGGATAGCATAGCAGCTTCTTTAAGATGACTTTAATGATTTTTTATGTAGATGCTTTTTTTAATAAATAAATGTATTTAGTTTTGTCAAGTATGTATTTTTATTATTTCTAAATTAATTACTTAAATTTCGTCTCTATGGCTAAAACTAATTTATCTAATATTAAGTTTGTCGTTTTGCGCTCCAGCAACATCTCCTGCGCGTTTTTCTTGAGCTCCACCAGCTCCTCCTTTATCTCTTTTAAGACCAGAGTCTCATCTGCCACCATTGCAGCCAGCCTGTGGTCAGTTGTCGCTTTTTCTTTGCTGCAGCTTGCACCATCCATCCGTGGTCTTTTTGGGGATGGTTCTTCTTCGTTCTCCTTCTCATCAGCGCACTGCATGATGCCATATGTTCTGGCACCAGCCACGCCATCCACCGCCTCGAACATATTGCAGAGAAGGGCTATCTCCTCCTCAGTGGGAGTGAGTGCCATCTGCTTAAAAGGCCCACCTCCTGTGGCTCTGGTCTCCCGCCTGCTATGAGCAATTTTTCTTTTGATGACCAGCCTCCAGTCTTTCCATACCTGTAAAAGGCAATGGTCAATAAAATGTCCTATTTCCTTTTTTAAATTGTTTTAATTGGAGGGCCCAAAGCATTCAGCTGAAGCGCCAAGTCCTCCCAAGCTGTGCTCACAACCACCTTGTCCCCTTTGGTTAAATTGCGGGCAATGTCCGGACGCTCCTTCATAAATTTTAAAAAAACTGCGTAATGACTTGGCGTGCGATGCTTTCCCCTTAACAAAAATTCATAATGTATAACAATTAAACAAAAACCAATTAAAATTTACTTACGTTTTGAGCGCGTTCTCTTCTTCTTTGTTGGCTTGTATTATTCTTTTTGTCTAGTCAGCTGATGACATTTTAAAGCGATGCCACCTGGTAGAACTTCAAATGACTACAAATGTTTTCACAATTTGCACAAAAAGTATGCACACGTTTGACGTAAAGGAAGTTTTACTGCAATGAGCTATTTTTTTTAATGCTTAATTAAAGAAAAACAGAATGCTTTCAATATAATTAATATTAAATATATTGCTCCGAATTCGACTTAAAAAAAGGTGGCATTACTGTCTTTACTTCGAAAGTCCGAATCGCTTTAGGTGGCCACCTCAGTCTGCAGCGGATTGAGAGCGGAATCGGTAAGTGAAAATTCAGTGAATAGTGATTTACTAAAAAGCTTATTTTATTAACTTAGCATGTATAATTGGCAGTTGGGCCCGCAACCTTCCAAAAGATATTTTTTGTTAAATTTTTTCATTTTTTAGGTTTGGTTAACGAATTTTAGCTCCAAATTCGTTCCATAGATTTTAATGAGCGATACCTTAAACGACGCCAAATTAATGCACCTATACACAAAAAAATAGAAAATGAAATAGAAAATAATTTATAATATTTTTTCGACTTTTCCTGAGTTTTTAGAGTCAAAATTTCGTAAAAAATACCGCACAAAAATCATAATTTTTGCATTTCAATGCTTTATATTTCCCAGACGGTAAGCTGAAATCACTAAGTTTTTGGGCTTAACTTCTAGCTGTTTTAATTATCTTTTTAAAATAGCAAAGTTCTTAACAACCAGACGTAAGATACTAGAGTTATGTGAAAACACAAGCGCTACCTCTGAAAAAAGCTTTAAAAAAAATACCAGTTTTAAAAAATTCTTTAAAAAAAAGTTCTGCCATAGAAAAAAAATAAAATATCATCAAACCATTTCTAAGCCCCAATTCTTTAAGAAAAAGTTCGTTTTGTTCCTTGAGGAAAAATCGTTTTGACTAGTGTTATTTGGATGAGGGCTAATCACCAATTGAACAACAATTGTGTTTTATGGGTGTATTTAATCAAATCGCTGGATAAATTGTGAGCGATTTTGATTCCGCTGAAAAATCGGTGTATGGCACGGCGGAATGGAATTGAGGTGATTTTCCAGCGGAAGTGATTTCTGTGGCACCCCTGATTAAGTTACTTTCAACCGTGATTAGTTGAAAGATTTATTTGGCCTTCACGTCTGACACATATTAACGCCACCTCCTGATTGTATTCTTGAAAGACTGATTAATTATTTTAACTTTTAAATATGATGACTGGAAGTGTATGTATGATGCTCATGCAATGACGTTTTTGTTAGTAAATGGCTAGCGTGCTTGATTTACAATTTGATATTTGCGATGCGTGTGAATTCAACAATGTATTTGTAAGATGAGATAGGTTCTTTTTCAATGAATCGATATATAACAGTATAGGATTTGAGTACAGGAAAATGATTTCGTTCTTGAGAGTAAGCGGGACATATACAAATTATATGTGAAGTGTTTTCTGGAATGTTACAGGTATCACTTAAATTGTTATTTATTACTTTCATTCTAGCAATCAAAACGTTGTCTATTCCGTGACCACTTAGTAGTCTGTTGACTTGTTTGATTTCCAGACGGCTTAGATTACAGTTTTTGTCTTTAAACCATGGTTTGTCCCGTATATAAGGAAATAAATTTGTGTAACCTTTATTTCTTTCCGTGTCGTAAGTAATTCTCTTTCCCAATCTTCTTTAATTTTATTATAAATATGTGTGATGGCGTCTTTAAGAGGCCAGCGAGAAACAAAGAATGTGCTATTATTTTTAGCATTCTTTGCAGCAATATCAGCTAATTCGTTTTCTTTTATGTGTACATGGCTTGGAATGTAATGAAATTCCATTGCGAGCAAATAGGGAGCGTTTTCAATTTTGATTGTTATTTCTTTGGCAATGTAATTATCTGGGTTGATCTTTTTTAAATTTAAAACCCCATTGAGACTATCAGTGAGGATTGCAGTTTTAAGAAAACTGGCCAAATCAATGGCTCTATTTATGGCTATAAGCTCAGTAGCTGTGAGTGACGATAACTTTTTATTGGTAAAGCATAGTATCCAGCACTGCGGAATCGAAAAATTCCTGTCAAACTCCATATAAAAAAAACTGTGACAGGAATGTTTCGTTTACGTATTTCTGGAGTGTGTATCCAGCAACACGAGCGGAATCCACAGATTTATATCGATAGCTGCCTATCGGGACCGTATGTGGACTGAGAGAACAGCTGATACCCAGCTCAGGAATATATACTTTACAATTCTTCCTGAAGTGAATGGTGCTAGATGTAGGCAAAAACTGTCCACAAAACCAAAAAGAGAGATGAAAATTATTATTTTTTGTTTTGCAACAATATATGCCGCCACCAACACTTCATCATCAGAGTGCATTTTTTTCCTTTTTCATTTTAGCAGAATTTAACAGTTGCCTCTGTTTATAAAACACAGCTGGTTCATCAACCCTGTTTTAGCTATGTTCCACACCCTCACGGAATAACTAGCAAATTCCTTGCCGCAATTTTCCGCGGTGCTGGAGACAGGCCTTAGAGAAACTTTTAACGGATCCTGATTCTTTATGGATAAAGGCACAACCCACTTAGATGTCTGTGACTGAAATCCGTGACATTCGTGAAAATTTAATTGAAATGTTTAGATTTTAAATGAGTTAATTTTTCTTGAGCTAACGAATTTATAAGAACATTACTTGCAGATCTTTTGTTTGGACATGAGCCCTTGAAAAAATCTGTGTCGGTTGAAATTTTGCTGTGATCGGTACAATTGCATTCCAAATGTCTTTAGACTCGTCGTAGACTTTGGCGAAGCTGGTATTCCGTGCCGCAAAAGAACTGACGAAAGGCGATGACGCCGGAAGACCATAGGCTAAATCCTTAGCCAGCTCCTTTGCTGTAATAAACTTTAGCCTGTATTCAGGTGGAAGTTCGGCAGCTACATTGTAAATTATATTTACCGGGGTGGACTTTATTAGGCCTAGTGCTCGCCTAAGATGAAAATTTATATGAACTTTGATTTAGAAATGTTTGCAAATGAGGAACATGAAAATTCTAATTTGGAGCGTACACTCCGACTCACTCCGACTCACTCCGAGGTGACATCCACTGAGAATTTGTATAAAAATATTATTCTTATTTGATTTTGAAGTTATTTCATCAATCTGAAGCACTGAGGAGTTATTGGCAGCAATTATTCTACCAAGGTAATTTACTTTACCTCTTTTAGTGTTTCATTGTTATGTAATATATTTAATGGACGTCTTCTATTATTAAAATGAATTACGGTAGTTTTTGTCGAATTGAATCTTAAGTTTTTACTGCTGCATACCATATTGAATTCATTTATTTTTTCTTTTAAAATGTTCTTAGCCGAATCAAAAACTTTATGAAAACATAAAATAAAAAAGTCAGCTACCTTGACACACAACCTTGTGAACAGTTTTTTTTCCTGTTTGCCGCATTTTAAAACCCTTTTCTCCAAAAAAATAACTATAAACCCAATATAGTCTATGCCAAACTCCTTGACTGCGTCAAATGCCTTGCCTATATCTAAAACCGTTGCAACAACCTGAAAGCCTTTGGCTTTGAGATTGGCTACATTATTTATTACATCATTTATGTAGTGTGCAGTGGAGTGTTTTTTTCTAAAGGCATAAGATCTATTGGGCAATAGATTGTGCTTATTTATAAAAGATTCCATACGAATCTTTATCATACCCTCCATACTTTAAATAAAACGCCTAGGAGGCAGATAGGTCTGTTGTTTGAGACTATGGAGGCGTCTACATTTTTTTTTTGGTGCAGGAATAACCTTTATTATTCCCCAACTATCTGGAATAATTCCACTGAAGAAAATTTCGTTTAATAATGAGAGAAGATTTTCTTGTTGGTCCAAGAGAGAGTAGCATTTTATAAGATATATTATCTATACCTTTAGCAGAGTCGGGATTTCTGGATTTTAGAAAATATAAAGGTTCATCTAATTTTAAATTAGTTCTAGTTAGTGAATGGTCCCATCGCTCTGGAATCGTAGTATGCTCACAAGAGTTAGTGTTGGGTATGTCTGCAATTTGCTTAAGAAAATCTTAATGTTCAACATCATTCCAAGTACTTTTTGTTGGCTTGATTTGTTTATATAGCTTAAGACTTTTAATTTTTTGCCACATTTCTTTTGGAGATGATAGATTGCATCGTTAAGTGTGTTCATGTTATCTTTTCAAATCTTATATATGTAATTTGTTAGAGTTTTGTTAGCTTTAATATATTCAAATGCGTTCGTAAAGAGTTTAGTTTTGTAATATTTTTGTCTCTTAGCATTTCTTAATCTAAAAAGTCTTTCACTCGCCTCGTCCCACAATTTTTTAGGAATATAATTGTTATTTATAGACACTTTTATGGAATTACTTGAGATTATTTTTTTGGTTGAATTATTTAGGTTTTCTAATGTGCTAATTTTTATCTTAGAGAAATCCTCGATTACTCTTTTGTGTAAAATTTTATTGGTAGGTTTGATAGAGTAGTTGGATATATCAATAACTATAGGGAAATGGTTGCTGTTTGAAATTTTGGAGTTTTGAACAGACCAGCTTATGTTATTATTAGATCTATTTACCAGTGTAATGTCTAGTGCTGAAGAATAACACTAGTCAACACGAGAATAAGGCTGTGGCCCAAAATGACTTTTTCTTAGAGATTTCGAGGTTTAAAATTTTTGAACGAATTATGGTTTTTTTTGATGGTGTAGTTTTTTTTAAAGAATTTTTTAAAATCTGGTGTTTTTTTAATGTTTTTTTTTCAGAGGTAGTGCTTCTATTTTTCACATAACTTAAGTATCTTATTACTGGTTGCATAGAACTTTGCAGTTCTGAAAAGCTGACAAATGGATCGGACTCAAGCACTGCAGCTTAACGCCTGAAAGATATTAAGCTTTCAAATTCAAATTTCATCTCTTTTTGACGGTTATTTTTCCCGAAATTTCGACTTTAAA